GCGCCGCAGTGCAAGAGGCCCTTGAGGGATTCATCCCTTTGTGCCATCTGCCATGATGGGCGTGGCTTGCGCTACGACGGACAAACTAGTTTTTGCTGTGAAAATGGTGTTTAGGCTAGATTTTAATGTAAGTTATTGTCCTATGCTTCTGTATTTGCTTTTAATCGATTTTTAACCTGGGTTGAGCTCAAACAATATTTTAAAAGGATTTTCTTGGGATCCCAATGTTTTAACTAATTATTTTCAGACCCTTGAATTGTGATAGCTTTGGTAAGGGGTTTTATTAATCCTAGTTATCACAATGATGTGTGAGTGGTGTCCTAGTAATGTCAAGGCAGACATCATTACAATTTGGTATCAATTTAAGCACTTCTGGAGACTGGTATGTGTGGTGTTGGTGATGGTTTTGCTTGTTGCATTCATGTTTAGAAGTTGGCATATATATATTCATTACACTTACCTTCCCTTGCATAGTCCGTTCATTTAACGCATATCTTTGTGTGGTTACTTCCATCCTTAGGAGGGGAAAGAGGATGGTAAGAAGAAGAACCACCAGAATGGCTATGGGTGGTAACCCATCTAATACAGATGTGGTACCAGAGACCAATGAGCTACCACCAGAGAATCATATTCCGGCTGGTCAGAACTTAGAACAATCAAGGGATGAGCCACATGGTAATGAGGCCTTGCTATTGGAGATGAGAAATTTGATGCAAGAGATACACAATTCAGTGCAGGGATAAGGTGCACCGAGGAATGATAGGGCAAGAGGAGATAGTAGAACAATTGAGAATGAAGAAGAGATGTATGAGCAAGAAGATGAAGTTTATGAAGAGATCACACTTAAGGAATCTGGAGCTGTGGGTGGCAGTGGTTCACAGAATTCCATGGATCGAGTATGAAAGAGTTTTTTATGATTTCATCCGCCTACCTTTGATGGAACAATGAAGGAGGGTGAAGCTGAAGAGTGGATTGAAAGAATTGAGACAACATTTGAAGTGGTGCCATGCTCAGAGGGGCAAAAGGTGACTTTGGCCTTAGTGTTGCTTGTAAAGAGGCTAAACATTAGTGGAAGTTAGTGAGACCGACGGGTAGAGTTAAGTAGACATGGGATGAGTTCAAAGTGAGGTTTTTCAACTTTTACTTCTTAGTAGCCTTTAGAACCGAAAAAGAGGCTGAGTTCCACGAATTTAAGTAAGGGAATCTTGATGAAGAAGCTTTCATCCCTAAGTTCAATCAATTGTTGAAGTACTCTACCTACCTTATAAGGAATGATGACTTGAAATGAAGGCTGAGAGGTTACTTAAGAAGATGAGACCTGAGTACCAGCAACAGTTGGCCTTGTTTGAGATCACATCTTATGATGAGATATGTAATAAGTTGAGAATAGCCGTGAAAAGGGGTAGGGTAGAGAGATAGAGACTAAGAAGAGAAGGGATAGTCAGGGTATATTCTAATAGTCACTTAGCCCTACCTGTGGAGTTAGCAAGAGATCTGGTTTTAGCTCCAGTAGTTGTGGGAGCTTTGGGAAGAAGAAGACCTTTTAAAGAGGATCACAGTCCCGAGGTTCCTTCCAGAGGAGTAGTGGACTGAGGAATAGTGCCAGTAGTGTATAGCCATCTCAGCAGGCTTTCACGATGCCTATGCCTACTCTTAGTACAGCTAGAACCCCTCAGTGCTTGAAGTGTGGGAGATATTATGTGGAAAAGTGTTAGGTTTGCTTCAAGTGTGGCAAGTTGGGGCACATAGCTAAATATTGTGAAGAAGGCAGAGTGGGTACCACAGAGCAGAGATCGACTATTCCTACGAGAGTATTTGCGTTGTCCTAGGAGGAGGCAGGTGTGTCTCTAAATTTGATTAGAGGTATAATCTCTCTGCACAACTGTGATATAGATGCTTTGTTTGATTCGGGTGCTACCCATTCTTGTATTTCTGATGACTGTTTTTGAGGTTGAAATTACCTGTGCATACCTTGCCTTATGTGATTAATGTGTCTACGCCGGCGGGAATTTCTATAAGAACCGACCATGCTTGTTTGGGTGTTGATTTGTGATTTGAGAATAGATCAACTATTATCAACTTTATCTATCTGCCCATGATTGGGATTGATGTAGTAGTAGGTATGGACTGGTTGTTAGCAAATAATGTGACATTAGATTGTGCAAGAAAGATAATATCCTTGCCAGTGTATACTGCACCTATAATGAAACCTAGTCAGTCAAGAATCTTGTCTGTAATGCAAGCAGAAAAGTGCATTCAACAGGGTTGTCAGGCATATATGGTGTTCTTTTCCGTTCATGCCGCTTATGACCAAGGAATTGAGAGAATTGGAATGGTAAATGAATTTCCTAAAGTATTTTCAGAAGAAGTGTCTGGATTACCGCCTAAGCAAGAGGTGGAATTTTCTATTGACCTTGTACTTGGAACAAAACCCATATCGAGAGCTCCTTATCGGATGTCTCCATCAAAGTTGGCAAAGTTAAAGAACAATTAGAGGAATTACTAGAAAAAGGGTTCATAAGACTGAGTGTGTTCTCGTGGGGATCACCGATGTTATTTGTGAAGAAAAAGGGTGGTAGTATGAGGCTTTGCATTGACTACAGACAGTTGAACAAAGTGACAGTCAAGAACAAGTATCCTTTGCCTAGGATTGATGATTTGCTAGATCAAATGGTTGGAGCTGCGGTGTTCTTAAAGATTGACCTGTGATCAGGCTACTATCAGTTGCGAGTCAAGATCGAGGATGTACTAAAGATTGCCTTTCGCATTAGATACGGTCACTATGAGTTTCTAGTGATGCCGTTTGGATTGACGAATGCTCCAGCAGTGTTTATAGACTACATGAATAGAATCTTTGTCCTTATCTGGATAAGTTTATGGTAGTATTCATTGATGACATTTTAATTTACTTAAGAGATGAGGAAGAGCACGCAAAGCATCTTCGTACTGTCCTAGAATAAATAGGACAGTCCCGATTCAACTATAAGACAAGGGATACTTCCCAATTCCAACAGTTGGTACCTGTAACCTCCCTGAGGTTAAACCATAAATTAATACCAATCTCATAATTATCTGAGGTGTTAAAGAGAATTTGACAAAAATTATTACACAGGAATCCCAATTTGCCTTCAAATCCTAAACATAAACTTTAAGGACTCCAAATCACAGTTTTAAAAACAAAACAAAAGCTTGGAAATTAATTGGGACCTAAATAATAAGTGTTAGAACTCAAAAACCATTTCTGTGTAAAAAATGACAAGTACGCTGCAACTTACGGCTCGTGCGTCACTGCATGTGTTCTCTGTGCCATGTGCTGTGGTGTGAGGCACCATACACCATGGCGCATTGCATGAAATTTGACAGATCAATGTTGTCATTTGACAGCACAGGGAGCGGACTTCCGACACATCCCAAATCGCCGTTCGACGTTCGATTGAGGTGGTTTTGGTGTCTACATGGAGCTTTCTCCTAGCTTTAGCTAATAGCATAAGTTTCACATTCAAACTCATTTTCTATAAAAAGTTGGACACCAAAACCCATTTCTACCATATTTTCACAAAATCTCCTAAATGGGGTGTCCCAACTCAACCACACGTGCTAATAGCCTACACTAACCATCTGACCACACTCAATGGACTCTTACGGACTCGTGCAACACACTACACGCAATCAAACACACTTATTTCACAAAATCACCACTCAACCCTAAATTTCACAAAACATAGAGGGGGAGGAAAATTTGCACAAAATCAACCATTTCATTCATATTTCTCAAAAATACATATGTTCTTACTTGCACAAGTATTTTGGCCCTATCCACGGGTTTACAACAAGAACTCACTAACCTAAGGCATAAAATATACTAGTTAAATACATAATCATGCAAGTAGTGCACCAAACATGACATTTAATCCTAGTTGGCAAAGGCATTAACAAATACACACATAAATAGCAAAAGAGAGGCATATAGAGGATTCACTCCATCAATCCTAAGCCTCAGTATGCTTTCCCTGATTTAGATCTAATGAGCTAGGTCTTAAAAATAGTCAGAATTGAGGGGTGAGTACAACCACTCATTAACCAAGTTTCACTTAACCCTTACAGTTACATATTAATTGTAAATAGATGCAATTAGGCACAAATACACATATATCACATAGTATTAGCCCACAGTTCACAAAACTAACAACCGTGTGACCGGGCTTGCCACAAAACACTAGATCATATTATTTAAAAAAAAAAAACATAACTCAGGGTTGCAAAAATAACAACCATGCGCCCTTAACACGTGTTGAACCACAAAACTATCAACCATATGGCCGGACTTATATGCATGATTATATGCCAACTTTATATCCTCATGCTACGTCCTTCATGGACTAACCCAACCTTCTACTTGTGAGGAGCTACTGGGCCAGGGTTAACTCACTCACTTATGTAATCCAGTTTTCCCCAATACTAACAACCATGGGGTGTCGTACCCCTAATCTAGCCTCCTCATGAACTGATGGAGACTAGTTAGGTTCGAGTCCCTTGTAAAACAAGTGGGACAATTCTGAATCTACCATGGGACAAGGGCTACCTCTCGATTCCAATGGTCGATGCCAAGGCTAGTTCCCAATTCCAAAGATCACTGCCAATACCACGTGGATTTCAACTAATCTACTCCTCTCCCAAGGCGAACTCCCGCCAATGATCATGTTATGTACATTTCACACATAATATGCATTTTAACAATCATTTCTCAACATAATGAACTCACATAACACATATGCTCATAATTAACTCATATTTCATCACAATTCTCCACCTATAGTAATAAATCACAAGTAATTTCATAAAATTTCAAGGGTGGTAGAATCAAGGTTTTCTCTTCTCCAAAACCATTTCACAAACAAGTATTTGCCAATATGCATAATCAATTTAACTCACAAATCACATTTTACAACACAATTAACATTCAACTATAAAAATTAAGTTTCCCCCGGTTACCTCAAACTTTTGAGAGGTCAAAGGTTTATCCCTCACTATATCAACTTTCCAAAGCTTCAACAATCTTGAATGGTGCCAAAACGAACCTCTATTCATCCAAACTATAAGAACATCATCATTACTTAACTCTTGAACATAAAACTCAACAAATTCTATTTTATCAACTCATAATCAATGCCCATTCTTACCCAATGGGCTCATTAGACTCTATTAATGCACGTTATCATTAATAACATCTCAAACCCTCATTAATGCACATTAACCTCTCCCAACTACCTCATAAATACCAATTTTCGAACATTCAATGCTCCCATAGGCCAACCACTTGCAAAATCATCAATGTGGTGTTTCAATACATTAAATCACTCCTATTAATCTTATTTTAACCAATGAAATCGGACCCATACTCTTTTGGGCCGAAAATCTATCTCCCAACTCAAACCTTACTATAAACAATCATAAATGAGGGAGAGAAAGGAAGAAGAAGGCACTATGATCTTACCTTGGGTATTTGGGAGCTCCAATCTATCAACAATGGGACCAAATGTCGTGCCTTAGCAGAGCCAAAACTAAGCTCTTCATTTTCCTGCTCTTTCTCTCTTCTGTTTTCATGCAGCTCACGAGCTGATTTATTTGATTTTTGGCCATGCGCCACGGCACACACTGCTCTCCGTCCCAGTGCATGGTACAGAGGATCCTGTTATGTTTGAATTGTCTCCGTGCACCACGGCGGACCAACCATGTGCCGCAGCGTGTGGCACAGAACACAACTTTTCACTTTTTCATTCTCTTTCCTTACCCGGGTGGCCCACCAATGATCCAAACCCACTTCTAGGGTTGAAACCATATCAATTATGCCAAGTTAAGCCCCTCTGGCCTCATACCTCATTAACTCACTAACTATCCTAATTAAGTTAACAAATCAGGGTTAAAATTTTTTAGATGTTACAACTCTCTCCTCCTTTTAAGAATTTTGTCCCTAAAATTTGGAAAATCATATAATTCTTACCTCACTGAAAAGATGGGGATATTGTTGCCTTATTTTCTCTTTTGTTTTCCAAGTGGCATCACCAGGAGTCATTCCCTTCCATATCATTTTCACTAAACAGATAGTCTTGTTTCTTAGCTGCTTATCTTTCACATCAGCTATCCTTTTTGGCTCAGTTTGATAAGTCAAATTCTCTCATAGTTCTACCTCTTCTGGTTCAATAATGTGAGATGAATTAGGTTGGTACTTCTTGAGTTGTAAGACATAGAACACGTCATGTACACCTGATAAATGTGGGGGTAATGCAATCCGATACGCCAAAGACCCAATCCTTTCTAGAATCTGAAACGGACCAATGTATCTGGGAGTCAACTTCTTGGCTCGAATAGACCTCTTAATACCAGTCATAGGCGATACCTTCAAGAATACATGGTCTCCGACCATAAATTCTAGCGGTCTCCTTCTCTTATCTGCATAACTCTTCTACCGACTCTGAGAAATCAACAACTTCTATCGAATTACCTCTATCTTCTCTATGGTTTGATCCACCAAATCTGGACCTAAAACACTTCTATCACTTAGTCCAGTAGAGAGGCAATTGACACTTTTAACCATACAAAGCTTCACATGGAGCCATCTGAATACTTGCATGAAAGCTGTTGTCATAAGAAAACTCCGAAAGTGGTAAGTGTTTATCCTAACTTCCACTAAACTCAATAGCACAAGCTCACAACATATCCTCGAGAGTTTGAATCATTCTCTCGATCTGACCATTAGTCTATGGGTGATAGGCCGTACTAGACTTCAATTTAATACCCATAGCCTGGTACAAAGCTCTCCAGAAGTTCGATATGAACCTCGAATCATGATCTGACACAATCTCTTTCAATACCCCATGCAATCGCACTATCTCTCGAACATGAACCTCAGCAAATGTCTCTAAGGTATAGTCCACTCTAATGGCCAGGAAGTGAGCTGATTTAGTTAGTCTGTCCATAATCACCCAAATAGCATCATGACTCGCCTAAGTATGAGGCAATCCCATTATGAAATTTATAAACACACTATCCCATTTTCACATTAAGATTTCCAATGGTTGCAATAGCCCAGGTGGCCTCTAGTGTTCAATCTTGACTTTTTGACATGTCAAACAGCTAGAAATGAACTCAGTTACATCTTACTTCATTCCGTGCCACCACCACCGCTTCTTTGTATCTTAGTACATCTTAGTGGCACCAGGGTGAATTGTTAGCTTACTCCTGTGAGCTTCTGATAGTATAGTCTCTCTAATCTCCTTATCATCAGGAACACACATACGGTCGTGATACAACACAAAACCATCATCACTAAAACCAAAAGCCATCATTCAGTTTTCCTTAATGTCCTCCCGAATCTCTAATAAATACTCATCTTTTAATTGTGCTTTTCTTAGCTCTTTCTATAACTCACATGTAATCATTGTGACATTCAAGTTGTATGACGCGAAATCGGGAACATTCTTGTGCTCATTAGAGAAATCCTCTAACATCTTGTGGTTTTGCATTATCAAGAATGCTACGTGTAGCGTCTTCCAACTCAATGTATCAGCTATTACATTAGCCTTACCAGGATACTACTTTAACTCAAAATTGTAGTCCTTCAAGAACTCCATCCATCTCCGTTGCCGTATATTCAACTCTTTCTTATCAACTAGATATTTGAGGCTTTTATGGTCATTGTATACCTCAAA